AACATCACCTAATGAGAGAACAAATACAGCAAATTAACACATTTGGGTTATTCTCTTGAATAAAACACCTACAGACAAAGCAAAAAGTATCCAGTAAACATTACAGTCAAAGTACACTGACTGCAGCTACGGAATCTCTCAGTCAATAAACAGATATTCCCTATGGTCTGCCTGTTAACTACCCTACCAGCAATATTAAAGAAAATCAGACCGTCCAAATTACCATTTAACCATATTTGGAAGTCGATTCGTTCATTTTCACAAACAAAAGCTCGGCTTTTGCAGTTAAAAAGATGGTTATATTACCGGGTATAACTCCTTTCATTGACAATGAACCTACATCATGTGTTAGCGCGCTAGCTGATTGGCTGCTCTTATCCTAGCATAAACAGCACCTTAAAAAATACAATGAAATGCGTTTCATTAGTTACGTTTGACAAAAATCAAATGAATCGCTTATGTTTGGTCAAATCGCTCCAACATATATCTTCAAACTAAGGTGAGGAGAGCAGGCAGCATCTTAAGCTAGCTACATTAGCTTAGGTTAGCAAGAAGAGGAATTGGAGGATGTAAAATAAAACGGATTTTATCAATTAATAAGTCTGCTTACTGAAGTGCAACAATGGGCGAACTTACCATCATAGTAGTAGCAAACTTTTTTCTTTGTGCCTTGAGAGGTAAATGCCATTTTGGGTGCTGTTTGTCGGATGGTTTTAAGGAGACAACAGCGACACGTTCGGTCAACAGGATGTGAAGTCAGCTGCTGTCCATAGGGGGCGCCAAAGCAACCGTTTTATAATCTGATCTGGGTTCACCTACAAAGGATTCCTTTACTACCTGCAAACACACATCAGATAATGAATAAATGATCAAATATGTTCATAAATTTAAAGGAAAATAATAAGATCTTAAAACTATGTTCATGTATGTAATTACATGCAAAAGCTCCATTTACTTGACTTGTGCTTTTCTGTTTCTAAAATAATTAATGATATCACTGTAAGAGACTTGACATCCAAATCTGTTGTTCATACTAATCACTATTATCTGGATTGATTATTTTTCATAATTCATGATTTTTTATGCCATGGAAGATCTCAGATTGACGTTTGAAAAAAGCTCCGATGTGCCAATGCAACAGTCATAGGGAAACTAAGCTATTTAAAGATTTGTGCAGAAAAAAGATCCCATTTTCAGAGAGGAAAGTGAGTAAAAAGGTCATCTGTGCAGCGGCGGTTCTAGACCATATTTACCAGAGGGGCCAAGATGGGGCCAGCAGGTTTTTGTGGAGGCAAATAGAAACATGAAACAAAAACAGGGCAGTTATTTATCATTTAAAATACATTAACAGAACCAAAAGGTGAAGTGAAATTTCCATGTCATTTAGTTTAATTTTTATGCTTATTCAATTGAAAACTTATATTTTTAGTTTGAAAATGTAATTTTTTTTACTTAAAAAAAAGAAAATTCCTTACCATGGAAAAAGGCAACTGAAATATTGATGAAAAACCTATTTGCAATCAGTATCTACAAAATTTTTTTGGAGAAAAAAAAAACCCTTTAACAGAAGTGTCTCCAGTCCTTGAGGGCTAATGTCCTGCACCTTTAAGAAGTGCCTCTGTTTAAACACACTTAAATCCAATAACTGGGTCTGGGTCTCTGTTTTTTAATGTTTGTTCTTGTTGCTCTTTTTTTTTATGTAATTTTTTTTATTTATGTTTATTTATTGAACCCAAGTATGAAAAAAAGAAAATATTTAAAATTCTAATTGAAATAAACATAATTTAGTTGTGTAAACCAACTCTACTTTATCTACTACTTCAATGTACTTTTTCCTCTTTCCCCTCCATTTTAATGAATGAATTGTTAATGAATGAATTGTCATTAACTGGATTTGCCTTTCCTAGTATTTGCATAGAATCAGTTAACTATTCAGTTAAGTTGAAAGCCTTCTAACAGCAGGTTTTGTGTTGTGTATTAATCCTAGAAGATGATGTCTATTAAGTTTCATTTAACTAATACCAGAGCTTATTAGAGGGAATTAATTGGGCGGTTTAAAAAGAGAATTTTGCCTGTGGGGTAGAGTCCTGTTCAGATTAAATAAATTAGAATTTTAATATTTTTAAAAGTTTTTTTTTACTAATTTGGGATTAAAGGATCATTCTACCATCCTTCAATCTTGAAAGATCAATCCTCTATCCACCATCCTACCATCCTCTAGTTGCAAATGTGGAACATTTGGGTCAATATGATGAAGCAAACAACTATAATATATATTTTGCTAAAACAATTTGCTCTTTTTTCATGTACAGATGAAATTAGATATCTATGTTCGATATCACTCTCAGTGTCTGAAATGAAATCTGCATAAAATTAACCAAAAGCAGAAAAATACGTTGTAATTAATAGTGACAAGCCCAGTGGCGGTTCTAAACCAAATGTATCAGGGGGCCAGGAGGGGGCCAGCGTGTTTTCATGGGTGCACAGAAACGCATGAAATAAAAAACAGGGCAAGGGATATTAAGATAGCTGCATGAACTGAAATTTTTATTCAGTTAGGTTTAATTAAAATTCTATGCCTTATTAGTTCAATATAAATTCAGAATTTATTAATTTAACATATTTTTGACATAATTTAAGGTAAAATTACGGTTTTCTATAAAATCTGAATTAAAACTCAAGAAAAACTGATAAATTCAGCTATAAAAATTTAAGCAATTTGTTTTGAAAAAACATTTAGCAGGAGAAAACAGGGATTCTATCTCAATACCAGCGAAGCTATCACCTTATTGCTTTTAAATAATTAGAAAAAACAGAATTTGTAAAGAAAAAAATAGAAATAGAACCAAAGGAGCTATCAGTAACTATGTCTGTTCCAGCACATATCATCATTAGAATTTCTTTGAGTATTATGTCTTCAGTACAGGGGCCAGGACATGATCTACAGGGGCACTGGCCCCCATTGGCCCCTGTCCAGAACCGCCCATGGACACGCTCCCCCACAGTATCACCACAAACCTCCCTGTATTTATATTCCTACTCACATACGTACCTATAAGGAATGTCCTCCAATAGAAATCTGCTTCCTACTTCCTTCTTTTAACTTTTAAAGAACCAGGGATTTTACATTTGCAAATTAAACCTTAAAATCCAACAACTATTGATATTAGAAAAAACTCTTTCATTAAATACTTAAAATATATGGGACCTCTTGACTTTAGCTTTAAAACAGTCAAAACTTCAAGCTATTATTTTGCTTCTCTAAAATGGTTGCTTTGACATACTGATATGATGTAATTATATTTCTTTTAATGCCATGGGTTTCTTTCTGCAGCACTTTGAGCAGGTATGAAAGTAGTTTATAAACAAACACTTAGATAATTTCCTCTGTCAGAGGTTCACACGCTAAAATGAATATGCCTCTGACTTAATGGAAATATCCTATTCATAACTAAATAGCTCTGTACCGAGTAGGGGAATAAATGGCTTTTAAATGAAGAGTAAGCCATGAGAGAAGACAACAAACAATGAATTGTCATAATTGTGTCCTATGTGGACTTGTGTTTATGTTGTCTCTGTCTTCCATATATATACACCTCCTGTTCAGTTACTCTTTGCTGGATCCTCGTCAATCTTTTGCTCTATTCCTCCCTCATGTCTTGAGTTTTCCTTGTCGATCAGTTCTGGAGTTTGGATTTTATATTTGTATGTTTTTTCATTAAATGTGCAAGAAACCACCTCAGCTTCCGTCTCTGCATTTGTTCCTCTAAAAACCTCCAAACAACCTGACAGGAATAACTATGTAAACCTCTGACAAAAACAAAGTTTAAAAAAATGCTTTTATATCACTATTATTACTTATTCTGAAGCAACTCAAACGTTTTATGCCCCTTTAAACAATATATGCAAATATTCAGTTTCAACATACAGCCTGGGAAAAATCAGTATATAAGGTGAGCTTTGCATCTTTTATGCTGTCACTATATTCTGCACCTTTTCATTTTGGTTGGGTAACAATTACAACAATTACAGTGGATATTTATAGCAGCATAGAGGTGCATGTAACTTACAGTAAACTTTATTTAGCAGTGAGATTAAAAATATTTCACAATGAAACAATTATTATTATTAATGTTAGTTGTACATCAAACTCTTTCTTAAATGTTGATTTTAAAACTCATCTAATGTTGCAGAAGTATAATTATTGCTAAGGGGTTTATGGTAATTTTAGAGACTATTTACAACACTGAAATCAAAATTTTCCAAATTTAAAAGGTTTTGTATGCTATTTTTTAAACTTATTTGCTTGTATGTGTGTTGTAACTTCTGTTGTTTTAAACAACATCTGTCTTGATATGGATGGCCGGGGGATTTTTAAGTGATTTTAAATCTAAATATTGCATTTGGGTTAGCTAAAGATTGGCATGGGTAGATAAATATATGAATTTTAGCTAAAAGGAAAAGCAGACAATGCGTAATGATGTATTTACAATCATTGTAAAACTGTTTCAATTGCACACAAATCACTACACTTTCAGAAAGACATCTTTCATTATTTATACAATAGAAATTCATTCTGAATGATAAAAAACATCAATAAAATACCTTCTTTGTATCCAATATGCTCTCCAACTGTGGTTCATTTTAAGCAAAAATACACAGCAAAAAGCTTGTTATTTTAATTTTAAATGTTATGTTGCAGAGGTAAAAAGCAGTTATATACATGTTATTATAAAAACACCAGGAAAGCAGCCGTTCCTTCAGCAGAATCATAATGTGCTTCTCTCCTAGTTGCACATTTCCATCAGAGATTATTGCAAATGTGTTCAAGGTTAGTTTGATGTTGAAATAAAAAAATAAAAAAAAAACTTTTATGTTGATTATCCGACTTTCTACTCTTAAAATTCTTAGCAAATAGTTAAAAAGCCAACATCCCAACTGTAAACAGCTGTGCTGTTAGTTTGGTTAGACATATATGTGTCTATTTGTGTCTTTTTCTCTGCTCTTTAGCTATTCCTGGTACTGCCTCTCGGTGGCAGTGAAGAAATCTTCCAGGATGTGCTTCAGGTAGTCGAATGTGGGTCTTTCCTCTGGTTTCTCCCTCCAGCACTCATGCATAATTTCATAAAGCTCATCTGGACAGTCTTCTGGCTTTGGCATTCTGTATCCCCGCTCCAAGTTCTGGATCACCTCTGGGTTGGACATACCTGGACAGGAAGTAAAATTATCATTTAAATCAATAAAAGGTTGTTTATTTTTTTGATATCCACCTGAACACATTTAGGGGGATTTGCCACATTTAGTGAATATTTGAAAACTACACACTAAAACCCAATAAGATTCTTGCAACCTCCTGTTTCTCTTTGTGGAAAATTGTGGTGTGCATAAGTAGAAGGACAAATTTTTAAAGCATTTTTTTTTTTTTTTTGCATAAAACTTAAGACCTCAAGACATTAGATCTTACACAATTTAGAAAGTGACTTAATGTTATTTCCTTTTCAAAAAAGGAAGTAACAGTTTCATCATCTGAAGATGCTAATCTTAGCAAAAGAAAGCTCAGAGTAAGTGAAACAAAATGAAGCATAAATGTAGTTTACATTTATTGCATAGTTTTTCTATAGTCAAAATGATGCACGTGCTTAACTAAATAAATATATATTCCTTGCAGTCATGAACCAGTATTGGATATATGTACTAAATCTACCCAATAGAGGCTGAGGATTCATGGTATGGAAACCTATTTGAGCATCCTTAGCATGATTCCACCTCCACCATGTTTCATCTCAACGTTCATCTTATTATTGTGGCCCAATAGCAGCTTCTTCATAATGTTTGACCAAAAACTTTTTCTCAAAAAGGCATTTAGGTTGTTCATCTGGACAGGTGCACATTTTAGATTTTTACACATTTGTATCTGTTTAAAAATTACTTCTAAGACTAACTGTGCAAATCTACACTTTCTCTCTCATCTACACCAATTTCTTTGAGCTTTCCAGTTGTTTTAGGTATATATTGAGCATATCAGTGCTGATAGACAAAAAACATATTATGTTAAAACCTAATAACTGGCAACTACAGAAAAATTATCAATAAAAAATAAACATTTAGGTTAAAAAAACAGTAAGTTTAAAGGGAATTAATGTATTTATTTATGAAAATCATTATTTCTGGTTAAATTACATTATGTGATCGATAGACAATAACTGGGGGTATTTTCTTTGCATCATCGGGGTTAATTTCCTGTGTATGGTGTTTCCTTTGCCCGTTAATGAAGACAAATCATAACAAAAATAAAGAAAAAAAGGGAAAAAAACAATCAGGTATAATATATTTGTCAGAGTTATCTACCTGGATATGGAATACGTCCATATGTCACTATTTCTGTGAGGAGAATCCCAAACGACCACACATCAGATTTTATGGAGAAGGTGCCATAGTTTATAGCTTCTGGTGCGGTCCATTTAATGGGGAACTTTGCACCTGTGGATAAAATAAGAAAAAAAAAAAAAAATCTAAATTTTTAGCAAAATAAAAGCAAACAAATGTCAAAAGGTGAAAGGTTAGGTCTTGACAGTCTCCCTACCTTCTCTAGCTGTGTATTCATTGTCCTCTATCAATCTTGCAAGGCCAAAATCTGCAATCTTACAGATGAGCTCTTGGGAAACTAGAATGTTGGCAGCCCGCAGGTCTCGATGAATATAATTCCTCCGCTCGATAAACGCCATGCCGTCAGCCACCTGTAGAGCGCAGCACATCATTATACATGACTGAGGAGAGTGTGATTGTCTGTGTTAAAACTTGACTTAAGTATCTGTAGAGGACATGTGTGTTTGTTGGCACTGCTTCTGGTTGCATGAACCAAAACCAGGGAGTTTACCACTTCCCCAGGTCACCTGTTTGCTCCCTTTCACCTCTGTTCTGCAATGTCGAGCTCCACCCAGGTGTGCAGCTGCTTTCACACAGTCTAATAGAAAAAAAACCTGCAGTATTGCTTTAGATCCATCTAGTCAGTTGCTGAGTTTCTGCTTTAGTCACAGACTACATGACTCATTAAAAATAATTGGACCTCTGATTCAATTCTACTACGTCTGATGACAGAAGTGTGTTTTTATGAGGCCTCTGATTAAAGTTTTCTTCTTTTCTTTTAATTTCCCAACACTTCCCAGCCCATAGAGACTTGCCTGTTTATCCGGTTTTTATACTGTGAGGAGTGGTCTGAGGAAAAATGTGTATATCAGAAACTGGAATGTGACACATATGTGTCAGGGTTAGGAAGTGTCCTCCTCAGGTATTTGAGATGTACGTTTTTACTTTTTTTTTTTCCATTTAAAATTCCCATTGTATTAGGAAATTTTAGACATAGAAGGAGGACGGTGCATGCTTTAAGAAATGTTCTTAATCTAAAACGTGTGGCGTGTTCAGCCATCTTTACACTGACACATCAAAGTGAAATCTAAAGCAACCAAAATCCTGCAGAAGTTGAATAATTTTGTACTTTTACCACCTAAAACCTTAAAGAGTATGACACTAATTCAAACCTTCAGAGAAATTTCCATCCACCCAAAGCAATCGGTCGGCAAGAAGAAACATTCATCAGAGTGAAAGATAAAAGAGCATGATCAGTAGAGGAGCGGTAGAGATCTCAAGTTCTTAGTCAGGCTGACAGATAGATGAGCCATCAGCACCCAGTTTGACTCAGCTTGAGCAATTTTGTTAAGAGAAATAATAAAAATTTCCATAATAAAAATTACTGGAAGAACAAAGCTGGTGGACGCAGATCCCAACAGAAAAGTCAAACAGCACAGTATGGATTCATGAAATAAATATGCACTGTTCAAGTGTTAAAATAATAATTTATCCTTTTACTTTCCATCTTACAAACTACTTTAGCTAGATCTAGAGCACGTATTCAGGATATATTGTATATGTAAATGACAACAACTAATTTCATGTTTAAAAAGAGACGGCAGTCAGTTTTTTTTAAATATTCCAGGAATATCTTTTTTATACTCCTATAGTCTGCCTATTACTAAAAAAAAATGTTCAAGGTTCTCCTCTAAGTAAAAGTATATGATCCACCACCACATAATGCTAAGAAGCCGTGTATGATGGGCTGGCATGAAAGCATTCTTCGCTGTAAATCTTCACCACACCGCTCTGCATGAAGCGCAGATCTTTTCACCGAGTTGTGACACGTCTCAGAAACGTTTCTTCATCTGATGAAGAGCTGCTCGCTTTGTATGACTTTGAAACTTCAGGCTGTCTTCCTGTGGTTGATTTTGTCATTCCCACACCCACCATACCCCATAAAATCGAGGTTTTTCACTGACAAGAAACAGTTTAGAAAGTAGACATAAATCTTATTTTTCTTTATTTATTTTTTTTGCAGGATCTATCCTGCATTTAGAAAAAAATGCTTTTGAATTTCATTCATTATTGAGTTGGGTTTTTTTTAAACTAGCTTAAGTCAGTATTAAGTCTGGTCAGTGCGGTTGAACAACTTGCCTAAATTTGAAACTCTTCCCGCACCTTGAAGCACACATCCTGTTCACAGGTTTAGATAGAGCTTTGTTATAATATTGTAACTTTCAATGTAAGGAAGTTCTTCCTATTTAAACATCTAATTTACTGAAAATATCAGAAATCCTTATGAGAATAACCCTTTTTTTCTCAAATGGTTGCCGCTCTGTCCACAAATTAAGTATAAAGAGATCCAGAGAAACTAATCTACACCATAGTTTAAGGTTCTGTCATCATAGAACAATTTCTGGGGGCCATCTTGCAGAAAACAACACCAGAAAAATGATAAAGTTACGATTCAGGCAGTTTGTCCTCTTCAAATCCTGTTCATTAGTTTTATTTGTGCTACAGTGTCTAGACATGCAACAACGACTACATGCATGCCTCTCTGCACACATATCCACCCAAATCTGCAGGTATTACAAGATTAGGAGTTTAAGCCTCATTAATATGGTAGCTGATTTATTGCTCAGGGTCATGCTGAGAGCAAGGAAATAAAAGTACAAATTAGTTGAAAATTGGTAAATTAGGTGGAAGGAGCTTATAATGAAAGAACAAAAGATTACTATAAAGGTATCTCACCTGTGATGACATGTCTATCAGTGTGTTCGTGGTTAAATTGCTTCCCTCCTGCGTTTTCAGGAAGTCCACCAAGCTTCCTGCAAACAAATCAATCTGTTAACCCTTGTAAACCTATGCATAAACATAATATCTATCAACAGGGTTGCAAACAATATACACAATACATTTATAAATAAATATTGTAACTATATTTGCACATTCAAAACCTAATAACACTTGATAACACTAAAACATTTAGCTGTGGCTCGAAATGTGTTTTTATGGATGCAGATTTCAGCTCTCATATGACATTTGCTTCTAGAATTAAGGTTAAATTAGATTAAAAGGCAGTATTTTATTTTTTGCAGATTTTTTTGTATTGCTAAACAAAAGCCATTCCTTCATAATATTATTCTTATGTTACACTCCAAACTGCCTGTTTAAGCTTCTAATTTATTCTTACCTTCCATATTATAAATTTATCTAGTGTGGATATGATCACTTTTTATGCTTTATTGAAAAACAAGCAACTGTATGTTTTTCTTTTAAAACAAAGTGTAGCCGACAACTTACATCCATCTCCTTCCTCAGATATCTTTAAGGCAGTCTTGCCTCTCAGTTACGTAATTTTTCTTTTTTTTTTTTTATTTTATGAGTAACAAAATCCTTTTTCATATAAGTTTCCATCAGTACAACTGCCCTGATTTTCTGGTGTAATTTGTTGTTAAAGCATTTCTTTGATTCTGATCTTTTTTTTTTTTTTTTACTTTGAGCTAGAGAAGACATGTAATTTGAGATCAGACCAAATTATGTAATTTACAATACATAAACATTGATCTGATAAAAATGTGTTATACCAGCTTAGAGGTTTTTTATTTCAGAATGTGTCTGTGATATGACAAAAACCTGTCCTTGGAGCTAGATTGTAAATTATTTGGGGGCTTGTCCAGGATCTTAGTCTGAAATCTTTAGAAAAAAAAATACTAACAATGGGACAGGCAATAGAGATACATTTCTTTGCAATCGTATTTTAGAGTAGGGATTCCCTCCCACTTTGATTTTCAAAAAGATTTACAAAATGGGGAGGTTAGTCTCCCCGTTAGTGAACAAAGGGGGTGGCAACCAAATGGGGAGGCGACACAAGATCATTGGGATGTGGTCCCTGAGGTATGTGGAGGACCAAAAATATAGAATGAAAGACATAAATGTGACTGAATTATATAAAATTACCATGAAAGTTAATTTATCATTCACTTATTTATGTAAAATATTTGAAATATGTCTTTAATTTAATGGAATACTTACCAAATATTAAAAATACTACTCATTTGTCGAACAATTGAAAAAACATTTAAAATTAAAAATTAATATATGAAATGTGTACATATATATATGTACACCGTTCTTAAAAATTAGAATATAAAAAACGTTGACACATGTTGGGCAGAGGATTGTCAATTTTACATTCCATAAAAAATACGTAAGAAACCTTTCCCTTACTTTCCAAAAGATACAAATAAACTGATGGAATGTAGTTTATTTCACAGATTTTCCACAAGAAGGCCATCTGCTCATTTTATAGCAGTTCAGACTTAATCAAAAGGATAATGAAATATATAAATATATAATTTAACACAACATTTGGTCATAAATGTTCCTTGTTCTGATCGCTTTAATGATTCTCTGAGTGCCACCATGAACAATGCATGCAAGCAATTTTGTTTTTAAATTTGTTCCAGTTATGTGTGTAGTTAACAGATCAGAAACATTAATAAACACTTTAAAATATCCTACTTCATATCAAAAGCCACACAAAAAAGTCCATGGGAAAAGCTTCTACTAAATGGGAAGCAGTAAAAATAGATAGTGCATTGGAAAGACAAATTACATTTTGGACGTCATAATTCCTCACTGACATAAATAAACTGAGTGGGACCAAAAATAGCAGCTAAATTCGGCAAAGACAACACTTTGAGGAAGTACACTATAATCTGCCAAGTTGATATGAACAATATCCCCATACGGAGGACGGTTAATTTAGACCAAAGGAAATACTTTGAGAAAAGTGACTTCACCAGGAAAGACGAGTTTTTTACTCCTCTGCCGAAGTCTGAAAGGTTGCTTTTGAAGTCTTAGAGCTACTCTCTTTGTCGAAGCCACAAAGAAAAGCCCTGGTTACCTGCCTGCTATGTTCACTCTTTGTTTTCTTCAATAATGAAAAAAAAAAATCAGGACAAACATGTGAAAAGATGCATACCTAGTGTGCAGTAGAGACAATTGTCCATACATGAATCCTGAACAAAGAGCTTGACTGATGTGGACACTGCTGGTTTACAAATGATAACACAAAGGCACTCCTTTCACTTCAGCTCTAAGGCTGTCGTTGTGTTTGGGATCTCCTAGTGCATGTTGGTGCTGTCCCTCACAATAAAAAAAATTACAAAGAGTTTTGAGGTTTTGGTGGAAAAACCATCTGGGATTGCTCTCATCTGAATTCATATTCATATGAAACTCTCACCCCTGTGCCGACTCCTTTCATCCTCATTCTATCAGTTTTCATAATTCACATTTGGTTCATAGTGTCTATATGTGACCAGAAGGGAATGAGGTAAGATAAATGGAGAGGATGCGGACCATAAAGCAGCCCTAGTATCTATAGCAGGTTTGTTTATGGGACCAGAGCATGATGAAGACCTTTCTTCTTAGAAACATCCTCTCAAAATGTAAACACATCTGACTTTCCAGAACCGGTCCGGAAAAGAAGAAGGGAAAGTTCATGCTTGCTTTGTTGCATTTTAACACCTAGGCAGCGAACACAAGAGAGCCTAATGAGGAGAGGCTAAAAAAGTCTGCATAAACAAACTCAGGGTCCCTGCTCACATCCCAGCTTTCCTTCCTTATCATATGTGATGATTACACTCATACATTTACACTATATGTTACTCCATTCACAAACAAATAAACAAAAGAGCTCAACTGACATTAAGTGGATTAGACAGAATGACTGGAGTGGAGGGTTGAGATGAAAACATTGAGTCATTAAAGGGTCGAAATCCACAGAGCTACTTGGTCTTTTGTTCAAACGTGTTCCCACCCAAAGTCTGATAACAGATCAACATGTTTAATCCTGAACATCTATGACACCGGGCTAACACCGCTCCTCTGTTTTCCATTTAAGCTCATTCTTCCATTCCATCCTTTCTTTACCGTAACGAGGCAGGAGATTAAGGAGGTGATTAATCCTGACAAGCTGAAACATATTTCAGTCGACTAAACTTTTTTTTTCTTTTAAAAGAAAAAGCTCCCATGACTACACTGGGACGTTTTTCTCTCTCTCTCTCTCTCTCGCTTAGATAATGCTAACGAGAGGACCTACCATTTTCCATGTACTCTGTGACGATGTATATAGGCTCCTGGGTAACGACAGCGAAGAGACGGACGAGTCGAGGATGCTGCAGGTTTTTCATCATATTGGCCTCTGCCATGAAAGCTTCCACTGACATGGTGCCCATCTTCAGATTCTTTATGGCCACTTTCCTGTCGTTGTTGTAGATGCCTAGAAAATAACAATGAGTTGTTCAAGTTGCTAGAAAAAAGTTAGAGCATAGATTGCTTTAATCCTACAATTAATAACAAATCTTAATAAAAAAATATACATATATATGTGTGTGTATATATATATATATATATATATATATATATTTTTATATATATATATATATAGATTTACAATAACAGCCCAACAGATTTTGCTTTCACAATTAGAGCAGTACGGCTATTGCCAGAGAGCTTGATTTATGCATATAAATAGCTTTTTTATAAATTTATGCAGGGAGTATTACAGATTATATGAACAATGCAATGTAAGTAGAACAAGAAAGGAAAAACAGGAAAAAGGAGAAAAGATGAAAGAAAGAGGAAATAAAAGGAAGTTTTCAGTCTGCTTCATCACCTTTAAAAAGAGATGTAAAAAAGAACAGCACAACCAACGGATAAAGTATAAGAGATACACTAAACCACCTTGATACTATCGCTGAAGTATAAGTAGTATTATTTAATCTGACATGTATACTGTGGTCGCTGAAGATAAGAATATGGGCTTTTTGTATGGAAGTGAATCTCTGGAACCAAGCACCAATTTCAGCCCAGCTACAACAGCAGATAGCAATACTTGGTACCCCATAAATATCAGTTTGTCATGACTTTTTCACTCTATAAAGAAGACAACAGCAAAGAGAAACTTGAAATCTATCACTCGATTCTAAACTAAAACTTATATATTATATATATTTTATTAAAAAAAACAGTAAAGTATTGTATTTTAGGGAAGTTTAAACATCATAATTACATACCGGTAATTCCTATAAAGGCATTCAAATATAAATCCACTGCAATAACTCCAGTGTATATATGTATATACCTCACATTTAGAAGATTTTACGCCTCTTCCATAAACTTCACTTCTGGTTAGATCTCATTTAGATGCAAATGACACCTCTTGCTAAAATATACATTTACATATTTGTATGCAATAACTGCAGGTTTCGGCATGCCTACTCACATCCTGATTAATGTAACCTATGCAGATTTTTTATTGATGGTAAAAAAATATATATATAATACAGCCTGAACCACATAGGAGATTAATTTAATATAAATATTTATACAATTGTTTTCATAAAGTAGTCCAGTGTTATGATGTGAAATAATTTTGCTGTTTGACACCATCTTAGGTCCTGTTTATGCCTCAGTCAAGTGTGCCATAGAGAAAAGGAAGAGCAAAAATAATTTGAATTGTATTGATTTAATTTGGAATTATCAGCTTTATATTTTGCCATTATATTTTTGCACATTTTCTGCATATTTCCTGTAACCAAGTTTACAAAAGGAATGTTAAGAGTCCAGCCATAAAAAGTCTTGAACTTCAGAGTTAAAAAAAAAAAAAAAATAGTTTTCAAAAATGCACATTTAGGAATAACTTCAGGTTAAGTTATGTAAATTTTCCTTTTTAAAGGAAATTTCCTATGCTTTAGTGATTTTTTTTTTAAATCGGGTGAATCCATTTTCTTTTCATATTTTCAGTGTCAACATCCGGTAAAAGATGTTTCTACCCGTACGAATTACAGGAAAGTGCTGAGCAAACTGGAACATTTCTACACAACATACACTGCAGTGATCTATATCGGCAAAATTAAACTTAGCAGCTAACAGCATCTCTGAAGGTGTTCAGCCCGATAAAATAACAAGTTTTTTTTTTTTTATAGCATTTCTTATTTTGTTTTCTGTTACAAATCTGCACAGACGATGACATACACACACAAAATAGATATCATAAAACACGTATATGTCATGTGCAGCTATACTATGGCCTAACCCAGACCCTCAACCTTACCCTGACCATTACCAATATACCTAACCTAAACGTAAGGGACCAGTTGACAGATCCCCAAAAGCATCTGAAAGTCCCCAAAATGTATCACACTTAAATATAAATATATGTGTATTTCATAAGCTGAGCCTCACAAAGTGGGACGAACTAAAATGAATTTAAAGAGCACCTTCTAAGAGAACGTTTCTAACTGAAATGAAAACTTAAAAAAGCAAAACAAGAGGACAAACATAACAGCCAGAAATTCTGTTTGGTATTCTCAAACAGAATTTGTTGCCGCATTGTTTACATTTTATTAATACGACATTTACTGTCCCAGCTTTGTACCTGCCGGTATTTTTGTTAAAAAACATTTATATGACGGGTCTTTTCGGCTGTTCCCTTATTCAGGGGCTCCCATAGCTAGTCAGTAGGATTTGCTAATAGACTTGGCAAAGTCTTTATGTGGGAAGCTCTTCCTGATGGATGCGCAGCAGTAAGACTTAAACCACTTCATTGGGGCTTTTCTCAAGAATATTTCACATTCTTTTCAAAATTTCTGATTGATAGCAATGTGAGGAAACCAAAATTTACCTCATGATCTAATGAATCTCATTAAATATGGTATCATTTTATGTTTTATTAGGAAATAAAGTAACATAATATTGAGTTGTTCATATAATTTATACTTTAGATATATAAAAATGTATTTTAAACATGATCTATTTCTATATCTCTACCCTTTAAGGTACAAACATACATATAAGTCTACTATAGATGTAATATTACTAAAGTGCAAACACTGTTTAATACCCTGTGCAATAACCTGTTTTATATTTAATATCCAGTGCAATAACTATATATATAAATACCTATTAATATAAAAACCCATTTAATATATATATACGCACAGTACATACTGTATATGACCCATGCACCTTTTTCCTTTGGCACCTTTTTGACTATTGTATTTAAATTTCTCCACTGTGAGATCAATTAGGTCTATCAATCAATAAGTCAATAATATAAGAGAATAAAGTTATTTTTACCTTAATATTTCCTTTGATCATCCCTAATATATTTTTCACCGGTGTTAATGCTAACTAACATATTTGCAACCAAAAGCACAGGATCACATAAGGACTGTAAACCACTGTTGCTTTGTTTAACTACGTGTTGTTCTAAAAATAACTGCACATAATTGTCCTGAAGAAAGACTCTCTGGAAAAATAACTATCACTAAGTGGAGCTCCATCAAAGCCATAACCAACCAGTTTGTTCTTCCTTTGACATGAAACGCTTTGCAACACGCCACGCATGAAGCGTATAGCGATGAGGAAACAAATCTTATCTCCTAATGAAAACATTCCTTTGTCTATTTTCATAATGGTGATGGTTATCATATCTAGTGCCTTGCAAAAGTCTTAATACTCCTTAAACCTTTTCTTTTCTTTTACATTTTGCTAATGTTTTAACCTTAAGCTGTTATGATTTTTATTTAGATTCCTTTATCAGATGGTCTTCTTATGTATAATCCTAAAGCAGACGGAAAATGGTTCACAAATTGAAATCTTAAATTTTGAATGGACTTTTCATGTCATAAGAATCCCCCTGGTTTATCCATCATTATAATCTCTTTTCATTGCTAAAAGAGGTGTCAATATTAGCTCTCTACAAGCATGCTTGATGCATTTAGAGAAATGTTACTCATGTGACTCAAAAGGTTTAATTAGATATTGAGTTTAAGGACATCTTAACCAATGATTATCTTCTGATCTAACCAGTGCGTTTTAGTTCTGTCTGTATGGTTAGAATGTATCTCTGATTGTCTGGTTAACCTCTATCTTTCAGGATTGACTGGTAATTATTTCCACCCATATGCCCATGAAATCTGACCAACCTCTATACCCATTCTGAAGAAAATGTTTCCCCACAGAATGATTCCGCCAACACCGTGTTTACTGTGTTGCCTTCTGAAGGCAAGTGGCAGCACTTTTTGTGTAGAGATAAAGAGGTCAAAAGGGTCTCCTGGTTCATATTTATAAGAGGTTAATGAAAACCAAATCTGATTTTACTTCAATTTTCACAGCGATGCATTGCCTTGTGTTGCTCTGCAAATATATTAAACATTTTAGTTCATTGTATCTCTACAAAATGCTTAAAATCTAGTCAAGTCAGAACAAATGGAAGGTACTATCTTCTATATATTTTGAGATCTGCATTTTTAAGTAAACTGTTTAATGAGAAAAATTCCACTGAATGATCAAATGTGAAAAAGGTCAGCAAAGGTATATAGAGGCTCTAATGTTCACTGGCTTCAGGAAACATTTCTTTTGGATCAGTGGGGAAAAAACAAACAGAGAGCCCAGATTTCATCAGGACAGTATTGAGAACAGAATAGCACTGAGAAACGAGGGCCAGTTCTTTTGGTTAGTAATGTTTAGCTTTTGTTCAGTGGTGTGTTTGGGAGGTTAAACGGTGCTGGCGAGTGAGGATGGAAAATGGAGAGGAAATTACCCCTTTAATTGAATGATAATGAGGTTGTGGCCTAACCAATGTGCTTGTAATCAAAACGTTTAGCCACTGTAGCGTAATTTAATGCTGCAGCATCTGATTTAAAGTGTTGTTAGGACACAAATCTTAAAGATCTATTAGCTCATCAAAAAGCTAGGTATGAGTTTTTGGAGCAGTGATGCATGTCAGGGTTAATACCACACATAACTCTTTCGTTAAGCAGCTCAAACAAGCCTACAATTAGAGCCAAGCCTGAGGAAACTCTTCTGCACACACTGCAGAAAATCGGACTCCTGGCAGGCTTACAGTCTAGCTCCCAACCAGACATGTGATGTATCTGCCTGAGTGCACACATTAAATATCATGCAGATGGAAAAGAAAAAAAGAAAAAAAAGAAGCTTACCCATCCAGACTTCTCCAAACTGTCCGGCCCCCAGCCTGCGCTCCAGCTTCAGGGACTCCCGTGGAATCTCCCACTCGTCCTGCCACCAGGGTTTCTGTGGCGCCCTGGACTGACAGGGCTTCACAAGGACTGTGCACAATCCATCTGCTTCACCTGGAAAGCACGCAGACAAATCAACATGCTGAACTCCACAGTGATTAGAAATGCATCCCTTAGGATGGCATACATACGGGAGTAATGCTGGACCAGCTCCCTCAGAGAGTTGAAGGATATCTTGGCCGTCACGTAGAAGCCTCCATTGTCCATGTTACGAATCCTGTAGTGCTTCACGCCTTCCCCCGTGTTGTGGTCCAGATCTCGGACTGATAATGAGTATGATCCTGGAGCAGAATTAAAGATTAAGAGAGGTTAATAAAACAGGTTTTGACCAGAATAGAATGATTTATTGTTTTACTATATATTTTAGTATGTTTTTGGACTGTCAGCACTTCCTGATGCTGCCTCTAAACTCTGTCAAAGTGTCATTCGGTTTGCTTGTGGGTAGCCCTGCTAACTGTGGCCAACCTATGTCAAGTTACACAACTAGTGTTTGCAAGCTGCCCATCAAAGTCATTTATCTACAGCTTGCATTCATGCAGACCTGCAGCAGTTCAGTTACCGTAGTTAAAACTTTGGGTAGAAAAAAAGATTTAAATTGAATCTAATTTTATCATAATTTTGTGCAAGAAGACATTTTTTTTTTTCTTTTGAGTCATACAGGCGACTCTATCAGGGTATTAATGCAACAGCATTTAAAGAAATTGGGTCAGTAAAGGACAAAGAGGATGTGTTAAAAAAAAATCTGTCAAATGTCTTCACAATTTTATCTGTTTGGAGATCACAGTGCTTCTGCTAAAATGCAGTGTTGTGTTAGTCTAACTGTGTCATCTCTCTCCCACTCTAGATAAATTAGAGCCAACTTTGCACTGAAAAAAAATCGAAATCTAGAAGAGTAGATCGTTTTTCCAGTGTGTAATAAGGACTGTTTTTATCAAAATACGGCATGCTAGCTAAGATGTGTTTTTTTGAGAAAATATCAGCCCAGGTCCTACAGACAAACTGAAACAAATATGATTTAAGAGCAGATAACATGAAATTCTGACTACTCGGGAACGAACTTAAATAAATAGGGTTAAAACCCAGTTTGAACAGGTTATTTGGATCTACAATAACAAACTAAAACTGAAATTTAAAAAATAATTTAAATAAGAAATCAGGAAGCAGGGTATAATAAATCTGAGGCCAAGGATGTGGATTTAAATCATGCAATAAATTTCATTATTTGTTTGTCTATTCATGTAACAAAAGATTCAAATAATCACCTTTGGAGGTCTCGCTTTCTCGAATCAGGAAAGAGCCCTGGGTGTTCCCTGGAGCTAGCAGGAGCCTCATGGCATCGTTTCTAGAGATGTTCTTGAAGAACCACCTGCAGCAAAAAGACACTTTGAGCTAAAAGCCACTTCCTTTCCCTCATAGACCCGCCATGCATTATGTGAGCTGAGAGAAAGCCAGATGAGATGGCGCTGAGAGCTGTGACATTATGCTTCCTCTGTGACGTACGGTTCAGTCTCCACTGTGGTCATAGCAATGAAGTTATATGGGATGTAGCCCCGCTGGCCTGTGGTGAGAGACTCAGCCAGGTACCACTCTGCATCATCCCTGGAAGACAGAAGAGATGTTTACCTTTGGCTGTTTCACACTGAGTAACTAATATTTTGAATTAGATGGTATAGATATGTGGATCCATTGCGGCATAAATGGTCGCGTTATATGGTAAACAACATAATGCTTGTCTAGTAAAAAGATATTAAAGCACAGAAAAAAGGCATATCTGGCCACATTTTGCCTTATATTCCTCCCCACAATAAGCACATATTGTTTAAACCTTACATCGAAACAAAAACTAAATGTTCTCCCTAAAACATAATGTTATTAAAGGTATTTTTCTATAACATATATGGATTATAATTATAAAAGAGTTTCACATCAAGAAGGAATTCTTGTGTTTTTACTTAGTTGTTAACTACGGAACTAAATAGCAATTAAATTCAGATGTTTGCAATATTTTACTAGTTTATTCAAATCTGTCAAATGTATTTTTGAAAATATGAAAATTCTTGTGTTTTCACTTAATTTAATTTCAGTTGTTGTATTCTTTCAACTTTTGCATACCATGGGATGATCTTGTTTTATTTTTTTCTTCTTTTATATATATATATATATATCTATATATATATATATATAGATAGATAGATATATATATAAACTTCCTGCAGCAAATGTGTTCTTTTGTTGTTGACTTTAATGGAGTACATTAGACAGAGCATTAAGCACTGTTTGGGTTAAAGTAGAATTCAAACCAGCATGGTGATCAAGAAGGTTTTTGTCTCGTTTTTTTTTTTTTTTTATTGTAAACATTGGGTTTAAATAGCGACTCTAATTCTAACTTTTTATTGCAGAAGTCAACTGAGCGTTAGTGGGTTAAAAAACGAAGGCAATAGTCACTATATAATACTGTCAAAATGATCACCAGATCTGGTAGGAGCACTGAGATCTTCCTATAATCTATATGCATTAAAGCTGTTTTTGTTTGAAGATATGAAATATAGAGTGCATGATAATTATCTCCATTCATTTAACTGTGCTATCAATATACCTTTAAAGGAATAAACCTTTGTACTTTATTTATTATTGTATTTTTTTGCAGTTCATAATCTGGATTTTTTAGATTCGAGTATATCTGTGTCAGACTTTTATGCTAGAAAGCCGTTAACCCGCCAGAGCGTATGCATGTTTGTGCATCCTTCTGTACAAAAGATGTGAATTTTTGACAGTTTATAAGAGTTTGGGTTACTTCTTTGAGCTTTGCAGTCCAGTGGTTTGTTTTAGATTCTTTAGCATTTCTTTAGCAGCTATTTCATCTTCTAGTTTTGAGTGTAACAGGAAATTTTGGCTGATGTTTTTACAGCATCACTGCTTTAGAAATGCACCGGAAACTTTTTGAGTTCATTGCAGGAATCCAGAACCACAATGACACTAGAACCCCCAACAAGAGACTCTTATTTTTTGTGTGAAAAAAATGGTAAAACGCTTAAAGTTAGACTTTAGCGGAACACATTAACATAGAGTATTGGCTGCTGTGAAGCTTAAACTTCTATTGTTGTTTGGAAAGTTGGAGTAATTTTCTCTATGTGTGGGTTTAAAGAAGCTCACTTGTTGATGATCTTGAGTTTGTCTCCCTTTTCAAAGCCCAGGTCTCCTTCGTGTTTGGGTTCATAGCTGTAAATGGCCACCCCGATGTTATCTGCAAGAAGAAACACTCTAAGCTTTAGTCATCTCTGATAAATTGACACCAGTAACAATGGTGAGTTTACAGGGAAATGAGTTTACACTGTTCTCTTCGTATTATTTCCACAAACTATGCACTGCTACAGTGGCTGAGATGAACACAGAAACTTCATTGACCAACGTTGCATGAAATAAAACCTCTTAGAAATGCCAGCTTCTTCATTGAGAATTAAAACTTTAGTTAAAATTAATCATTTTTACTGAAACGAAAGGCTGTACACAATATAGTTTAAAATGTCTTGAAATAGGTGTATCCGCCCTTAATTTGAGCAGGCTTTGAGATGATTTGCAAATGGCAATACTATTTTTCCCCATTTATATACAATAATTAGATATTAGGTACTTTAAATAAGATAACAAAGTTGTTCTTTACACTTCCTACGAACATAAATCATCTTCTATTTGCACATTGTCTTACCTCCCTCCTCAAAACAAGAGGAAATACACTTATTTCCGGAAAGATTGACTGCTATACAGAGACTATTCGGATATTTCTAGAGGTTAGGGTTCGATTTTGTTCCCAGAATTGAGACAGAATTCTACAAATACAGGAGGCTGGCATTGGATGTGTTCAATATAACATTGATTTTATTTATTTATTTCTGTTATTAAAATGTGCGCGCTTTTGTTTGATGATACTTGAATTGATCCAGAGAAAGAACATTTTAGCTCATATTCCAACCATAAGACCCAGTCGGACATTTCCATGTGTCAACATGGTAACCCGAGCAGTCGGATAGATCCGTAACTTTCATTTTAAAGAAAAACGACGAGGGAAACTTGTCTTAACAAGACAAAGTTGTTTTTTTTAATGGAAAATGCTGTATAGTCTTCCTTTCCAAAGAAATATAGTACTATGGAGGTCAAATCATTTTGTCAACTATCTGATTGAGCATTTCCAGAGATTAACCATCAAGGGAACTCATTTAAGCATTCCTGTTCTAAATCCAATAACAGATATTTTGTGTTTTTCTTTACTTTTTCAAGCAGACATACTGTAAAACAAAAGAGGGAACAAAGAAGCTGGAGATATACCTGGTAGAGGTGAAGTTGGGGGTGTATAATGTGATGGGTATGGAATCACCTGATCTGTGTACTGGACAGACAAAGAAAAAGGATGTGATTAAAGACAGAAAAACAGCACAGGGTTTATGCAGGGATTGGTTCGGTTAGCCGGTTCCCGACCGTAAATTATAATCTGTTTTATTCTCTGCTAACCAACCATCTACATGTTGTGTAACACGCAGGTGGTTTTCTCCTTAATTCCTAACCTAATGGTGCATCTGTGTCGTGACGAGAAAAACAGCAACACACACTGGAAAAAACAATCTGGAAATAAGTAAAAATTTCTTAAATTAAGTGTATTTACCCTTAATTTGAGTAGATAAATGAGATAGTTTGCCAATGGAAGGAGTATTTTTACTCTTAAAATAAGATAATTAGATAATATGCGCTTGAAATAAGACAATGCAATTGTGTTTTCTTATTTTAAAGGTAAATAATCATGTTCCATTGGCAAAATGTTTCTTTTACCTCCTCAATTCAAGAACAAATGCACTTGTTTTAAGAAAAAATGACTTATCTAGATTTAGATTTTTTCCAGTGTTCTCCTATTTGATCACACACACAGCTTCCCTTACAGCTATGTGAGGTATGCAGCTCTGTTGTCCCGAAGAGGCCTGAAACAGATTGTGCTTTATCATGTTTACTCAATCGGAATGAATGGTGGGAGCCCATTTAAAGTTCACACCTTCTGGCTTCAGTTCATGTGTGGTCATTCACATTCGGCCATTTTGTACATTGTAGTGAAATCGTGAGCTGTTCCTCCACTTACTGGGTTGCTCGTATCGGGAGGAATGGGACAGTTGCAATGTTCACAAAGTTCGTCCAAGTTCTCGATCCATTCGCTGTCTGAATCCGAGCTGCAGGCGCATCCCATCTTTCCTGCAAGTCCAAACCGCATGTTACTTTTTCAGATATGAAAACAATGCCCACAAAACTTTAAACAGCTACGTCTCAAATTCTTTTCATTTTTAATAAAGGATTCTTAAAAAAATAAAAAGGTACTAAAATCCTTCATTGATCTATATAGATGATTCAAAGGACATTTTTTGGACAGGTGAGACTAAGCGGACTTTGTTCAAATTAGACGACAAACTTTTACGCTTTGGGCACACCTTATGAGTTCATGGCCTCCAATCCCGCTTCAGGCCTGAGTGCTTTGCCCTAAGAACTTCACAGCAATGTTAATCTCGTATAATCTGTCGTCTGCATGTGCTGTGTTTCGTATTTTCACACTAATGCGCTGTACGGACCAGCTTTCTCAAGCTCACTCGATTCCCTTGTTTGGCTGCTCATGGAAAAAGGGTCAGCAGGCTAATCTCAGGCGACGTTTGTCCCAAAGGCTTAAAGCCGTGAGAAATCTGCCGAGTTCTAAATAACAACCCACCATTTGCTGCTAAGGGGTCATAATGATGAATCACAAGGGGGATCACCAAAGTAAGAAGCAGATCTTTTATTATCGGATCTCCTAACCTTTTGGGTTTACACTCGGTGAGTCACACAAGTCAGCATTTTCCACTAAGGGGATACCATCCGCCTTTTTGTATTTTATTACCAGCAGCTGAAGGCCTTTTCCAAACAAACATTTGAATACTAACAGGATATAGCAGATATGAACACAACAAGTTGAGGAAATATTTAAGACCTGACATCTATTTTATCCTTCCGTCGTTCAAAAGACCTATGAAAATAATTGGGGTTTGGTTGTACTGTATTGCTAATTGTTCTGTTTGACAGAAAAATCACATTAGATGGTGCACTACAAAAAATAAATAAGTAGCAAACGGTAGAAATTTTCTGTAATAATTACTTAAAACGGGCTTACACACTTTATTGAACTTGGGCTTTGATTTTATGATCAAATAAAAACAAATAAAAGGAAGAACTCGACAAAACAGATGAAATCATTGATAAATCATTTCCTGTTTGATCAAATATTTACAAACACATACAATAAGAAGTGGAAAAAGCTACACTTAAGGATTTGTATAGAAACTACATGCTGAAACTTTAACTTTTAAGGTTGAAACATCACAAGTTTTCCACTCACCAGTTAGTCAAATCTTTCCTCGAGCGTCCAACAATGTCAGTTTTCAGAGGCCGCCATTAAAATGCTAGTTTTTTTCAGACTTATATTTATTCTGCGGAGCTGTTTGCTGTAAGAGGAGCTTTTTTACATGAGCACAGCTTGGGTGTGAAGATGTCATCATCCGCCTCTCTTATAACTAAGGCTGAAAACAGAGCTGATGCGGTGTCCCATACGCACACATACACACACACAGACACACACAAGTATAGAAGAGCGACCCAGAGTTTCCTGTCGTTGAAACTTTGAGGGTTGTTCTGCAGTCTTCTCTAACAGGTGCTGAATCTGCAGCTGTGTGAGAGCAAAGAGGAACGTTTGGGCTCTGAGACAAAAGAAAAGGGGGTCAGGAGAGCGCCCTTCCCAAAAGATGAGAATGTTCCTATACAGTTAGAGAACGAGGCCCTGCTGGGATGACGGTGATGCTACACTATACTATGCTACACGTATTTTTGTCTTGGTTTGTACTGTAAGATGTGGGAGCCACTGACCTTTGTTAGGTGTTTGCACCTGATGTGGTCATAGCAGCTTTAAAAAAAAATCCCATAAGACCCAAATAAAATGGCTTGCATTTACCTCTAAAGCCCTAACACATTAGCAAATGTTGCAGCTCTGCTTCCTGTGTTGTGGGTTGAAATCTTCTTTAGGTTCAATATATAGAAATATGGCTTGTTTAACATCAAAATATAGCTTTTGATTTATTTATTTTGATATTCTTAGCCGAGCGTAATCCAGATTTACAGAGCTGATCTTTAATGTCACACAACCCAAAAAAACAAATAAGTCAAAGGATCATATTCCCATCAAAATGTTCATGAATACATTTTTGGGGTGTATACTGCTAAACGTAGATTTATAAGGTCTCTCTCTCTCTCTCTGAGCCAATGCATCTATATTTCTGTCACTCCTCAGGCTGCAGGCCACGTTTCTTTTTTTGTGGTGAACATATGCTGCTGTAGAGCTTGCACGGGCAGGAAGTCAGTCCAAGCATCACAGACAATGCAGAGAAATTTGTGCTCTGAAGGCTGCCACAGCTTAGATGGTGTCTCGCTAGCGATAAAAACCACCTGAATTTCTCCCTTTTTTTCCGTTAGAGTGAAATTCTGCAAAGATGTACTTGGGGTGTTTTACATTTTCACATTATCTGCTTCAGAGACTTTCAGCTGGCTGTGTTGGTTAAAACTACTAATATAGTAGCAGAGATCCTCATGTAGGAGGGCGCCACCATCTCAGGGTATTCCTGCTCCACATTTGTCACTGCTTCCAAAAGTGGTTGGAAATCACTTTCTGTTACGCAATCGAACTTTGATGCTATCGACCTGCAGAAAGTTTTCCAGTCCTCCTACAGCTAACTTTGCGATACAGGTGCAGGCCTCTTTCATTATGCGCATACGTCATTCCAGCTTCAGCTCGTAGTTGTGAATGCTTTATTTACACCATAATATCAGCTTTACAGGATATGTTAAAGGTAAAACGAGATTATATTGGAGCACAAATTTGAGTGGCGTGAGAAGGTAAAGAAAAAGCCCCTCAAGGTTCTTTTCTTGGGCTTTTGCACATTTTCTTTCACCTCCATGTCTTGCTGTTCTGATGACACACATGAGCTCATGTGTCCTGCAGCACTCCACAGTACAATTATTAAGCCCTCTCATTTACAACTTTTAGCAGCACCCAATTCTTCTTATACAAATTGTATATGACAATATGTCTGGCTCTGCACAGCCCTGCAGGAAACATGCTTTATGCTCAGATGGTGCATGGTGTCATCAAAGAAAGAAACAGGACACTCATGTGCAAGAGGTGGTTTTAGAATAGGGGACAACGATGGGTTAGAACCTGTGATGATAATTACCACAGACACTATAAACAGATTCACAAAAATAGCCTTTAGGTTATATACGGCACTGTGCAGAAATCTTGAGTCATCTCTGATTTGTTTCATACTAAAGTTTAATTGAATGTATATATTTCCACTTAGCTTTAATTTCTTCAAGTAAAAGGAAATCAGGGTTAGATAAAACTTTACTGTGGCCTGGAATGTTTATGGGTAAATACAATTCCCCTTAAATAATTTCACCTGAATCTGAAATAACATCCCTCTATTTACTCGTGGTGTTTGTACCGTATTTTCCTGACTATACACTGCAAAACACTGAAATCTAAAGAAGTATGTTTTTCTTAAAATAAAGGAATTTTTCATGAGTTGAGGAGGTAAGTGAGACAGTTTCCCGATGGAACAAGACAGTTTGCATTGAAAATAAGAAAAAAAAACATTGCATTGTCTTATTTGAGTATAAATACCAATTCCTTTGGCGAATACTCGTATTTATCTACTCAAATTAAGAGTAAATACACCTAATTTAAGAAACTTTTACTTATTTCTAGATCATTTTTGCAGTGTAAGCCACTACTTCTTTCCCACGCTTTGAACCATGCGGCTATGGTTGCCACCCGTCCCGTGAAAAACGGAATCGTTCTGTACACTGCAAAAAATTTAAATCTAAAGAAGTTCTTTTTTCTTAAAATAAATGCATTTTTTTCTTGAATTGAAGAGATAAGGGTGATACATTGCCAAGGAAACAAGACAATTTATATTTAAAATAAGAAAAAACAATTACATTTTCTTATTTAAAGTGCATATTATCTAATTATCTTATTTCAATAATAAACAATCTCATTCCGTTGGCAAATCATCTTATTTACCTACTTGAATTAAGGTTAAATACACTTAATGTAAAAATGTATATTATTTCTTGATCGTTTTTGCAGTTTATTTAGAAAAAGAAGTACCCATCCCGTATTTAGTGGAAAATAAACGCACTTTGTCCCGTATTACTGTGAGAATAAAACATTTGTCAATAAAAGGCTAATGGAAAATGAAGAACAAGGGCATATTAGATACGAAACTTATGTCAAACTTGTTCCCGGGCCCTGTCCTGCATTGTGACCAATAAGATGACAACATATATGTAACGATCCAGAATACCCTCTTCCCATTGGTCGAGACAAGTGTTGCTCATGGAGAAGAAAGCGGGAGACAACAAAGCAGTATGGGGGATGAACGAAGTCATTTATATGCTGACGCTGCTTTTGGGGGCGGTGCACCTTCGCATGGCGATGCTCCTCCTCCAAAAAAAAGGATGCAGAAATTTAGGGAGGAATGGGGAAAAAACAAATATCTGGGTGGAAAAAGTCTGCTATAATGAATATAAAGCACACTGCCAATATGAATCTAATTCAATGCAGATTTGAGTCAAATAGTTTTAAAAAAAATTATAATTTCACACACAAAGGGGGGCTAAAATAAAATCACCATGCCAGGAGGAGGAAAGGCAATCATATCAGCTGGCACGCACATGAGGTGTCCCTTTTTTTTCAGGGAGTTTGCAACCCTACAAGCGGCGGTACAAGAAGGTGCGGCTTTTCTGTGGATTTTCCTAACCACCAGAGGGGGAAATCGAAATCAAATTTTTATTTAGCACAAGAACATGGTAGCAACAGGTACGATGGAGAACACACATTCCACACATTTTGACATTTATTTGCTGCATTAAAGCTGCAGAACCAACAAAGAGACTGGGCTCAACTCCTGCAGAGCTGAAATAAAGAGCAATATGTAGAGCTCCCCCTACAGGTTTGGTGGAGGACAGTTCAGTAGATATCTGCGGCTTATAGCCCAGTGCGGCCTATATTTGTACGTTTATAGTTTCTTCCAAAAACCTAGTGCGGCTTATAGTGAGGTGTGCTCTATAGTCAGAAATATAACATGCTTAAAATGGGCTAAAAAATTATTGAAGAACTCCTCTTATTTTTAAAAGTTAATGTATGATGATGGTTTTGTACAAGAAAGAAAGCCGTTCATCCAAAGTATTGTCCTTTATACTCATATGTATACATATAGATACATTTCTATCAGTGTTTAACAACAAAAAATAATAAAGATTTCCTTCAGATTTTTAATTACCATACAACTTATTCAGTCATGCATTTGTTAAGTATATATAAAGCAACCCAGTTTGTTAAAGGTGTTAATTTCTGCTTAAAAAAAAAAAAGAAACAACTCTTGGCCAGCTTTATACAATCAATGCTCTGCAGCATCTCAACATGTCACAGGGAAACAAAACAGACTCATGGTTCTTGTCACAACCGTGCCGAGCCTCAAAAGATATTTTTGGTCCATGAGAGGAGGTGAAAAAAAATCATGAGCGTAAGCTCCTGCTTCCTGTGGGGTCTGATGAAGGCTTTAAGAGCGCTGCTGCGTGAGGACAAGCTGTTTAGTATAGAAACCCGCTAAGCATTTCCTTTATCTGATTCAACAAACACCCACATCTCCTGAGCTCTCTGATTTCATTAAAACATGTGACAGTCTGAAAGGATCCAACTTTGTTTGGCGCCTCATCCCTCAACCAGTCCAGACAAAGTTTGACCTTTTATTTCATTTTTTTCGCTTTGAAAATTATATTTCACCTTTCCTTTTGAAGTTTTCCACAACACTAATAGCTGCTCAAATCTGGGACGTCACCTCTGACAAAGGACCCTGTGTCATTAATCACACACTTCAGATTTAAATAACACAATACATTGTGTTGCCAAAAGTATTCAGATAATTGCCTTCACACTCACAAGAACTACAATGACATCTCTTTCCTGATATACAGCCTTTGATATAGTCCCTCCCCGACCCGTTTAAAATAAAGTTGCCTTAAATCACCAATAATCTCTTCCCAAAAGCTAAATATTTGACCTCTGTTCCAGAAAAACTTTTCCCAACAGTCTGGTTCTCAGTCTAACGCTAATTCAACCAAATAGCATTTTGTTGAGTTTGCTGGGTTTAGTTCAATGCCTCTCTGCAGGTCAGTCAGGTTCCCTTAAACCAAATTCATTAATGTACTATACATCCTTTCTGGACATTGTTCTGTACACTGGTGCACTTTGATGTTATTTGTTTTATGTTGCAGTATGAAGAAGTCCTTTCATTTGTGCCAAGTCTCATTCCTGAAGAACAGCCCTACAACATAATACCCCCACCGCCAATATGGCAGTCTGCAGTCCAGCAATTTTGCTCCAGACTCACCTACTGGTTAAAGAAATGCAAACCTTTTAGTTCTGGTTTATACAGCCCATCTGCCCAAATATGCATCCATTCCAGATTGAACAGATGCTATGTTCACCTCGGTTATTTTCAATAAAGATTCACATATCCGTGCATCCATCCAGCTGTCTATGGGCGAGAGGCGGGGTAGAGCCCTGAACAGGTCGCCAGTCTACTGCAGGGCAACATAGAGACAAATAGGACCAACAATTCACACTTAAGGAGATTTTAGAGAAGCCAATTAAACTAACAGTCATGTTTTTGGACTGTGGGAAGATGCAGGAGTACCCGGAGAGAACCCACACATGCTCAGGGAGAACATGCAAATTCAGTGGAGAAATCAAACCCGTAACCTTCTTGCTGCAAGGCTGCAAGGCTACCCAATGAGTAGCCCAGATTCACATATATCTATTCCATTTATCCTGCAGGATTCCTAAAAGCGAGCTACAAAACTTTAGGGCAGCTCTTTCCATTAAGCAGGGGGGATTCTGGAGACGTTTGTTCTGCTTTGGTTGCTAAAGGTTGTTTGGATGTATGTTACAGGTCCTGCTTTAGGCAAAGCTGCATGCTCTGGAGGACAAAGCAGTAGCTCTGGGTGGGGACTTAACAGACAGTGCATCGTGATTCGTGGCTACATCTCTAGAATTCAGCTGCGCTGAGTTTTACACTTAGCTCCCAAGCTCCTACAATGCACTTCATAATGTAGGACTTGGCAAAAGACATGGTCATCAATCGAAACATATTTCTTGAAGCTTAGACGAGAAGCTAATCTGAAGACCACACAAATCATGGTTCTATGTAATTTGACTCTACGAGACAGTTGATAACTTGTGAACACTGGGTGCCTGAATTTATGATTTCATGTTTTTTTAAGTTGTTGTATTTTCAGATACCTCCAATTTGTTCGAATACATCTAATAACTGACTGGGGCATGTGGTAGAAAAGGTAAAAAATGACCTTTTATATCACAATGCCATGCTTGAATTCCCTGAAACTCCAAAACTGCTTTAGAAACATGAGTAGAAGTTGTCCACTACCTCATTGTTTGATTTTATAAACGTGACCATGGAGCTGATTGGACTATTTCAATGTAGAGACTTGGGTTTGTGCCTCAATTCTTTTGCAATATAGTGCATCATCTATTTTATTCTTCCAGTAAATCTGGATTCCGTGGTATGAAAAGCAGAATCAGACTGACTGACAGGAAGTTGGCAGTACTAGAGGTGTGCATGCCTTCTACAGGTGAGGACACAGATACTTCCCCATTCATGTCATACTCTGACATGGATCAACACCAGCCTTTAAAGAGGAAGTAACTCTAATAACACGCCTTACGCAATCACAGAGGATATGAGAACATCCTTCACTGTGTGGTTAAAAAAGTCACACTTTTCAGCACAATGAGAAACGCCTGGAGTTGATGTTCATCTTGGTGAGGCCCAGATGTTTTAGAGGTGTGGAGAGAGCAAAGGCGGCCTTCATGGGGATGTCGCACAGTAGGTCCGACTCCTCCCCACACTCCTCCAGTTCGAAAGTGGCGTCGTCAAGCATCTCCTTGTGGCGGTGGCACACCTGCTCCACTTTCAGCCGGTGGATCTCGCCGCGCAGGCGGATCAACTGGCAGGCCAGACGATTGTCCTGATCTTGCATCTCCCTCTGGGCCGTGAAAAATAAAAGGGGGAAACTGGGGTGAGATGCTGGAAATCCGAGGTTTCATCTCTGTAACAAAGTGTGTAGAGTAGACTGGGGTTTTTCAGCTTTGAAGCATCCGTTAATAACCCAGTAATTAATGGTATATTAAGCATATGTGTCCCTGTAGTTAACAATACAGTTTCATACAAGAAAATATGATTTTTCTTACATATAAGTCTATAAACTAAACCAAATAAAGGAAATTTGTGATAAAAACATGATTTGAGCTGCTAATATTTCAGTATATTCATTTTCAAAAAGGCCTTTATGGGTTTTAGGGGTTTTATCAAAGCCACATTAAACAAATGAGAACAGTTTCCACACAACATGACTTTTAAAACCCATATGCAGCCCTGAGTTATTTGCATAGGGATGATTTCAGGTGGGGGCTGTGAGAAAACAGTGCTTTTATTGTTTCACAAGGTGTTTGTTTAAACTGAGTAAAGCATGCAATCATTCATCGTTGAATTGAGCCAAAACATTCATGCAATAATAGAGATATTTATCTACAGTATGGTGAAGCAGGAGCTGACTTTATCAGATGTTGGGTTTAAATTTAGGGGAAATAAGGGTTTAAAGGTAACTCACCAGCTCTTTTCTTAGAAACTCTAACGCATCATCAATGCTGTCAAAGCCGCAGATGTTGCCTATAACCAGCTCAGAGTTTTCCTTTTTCCAAACGGGCAGGGAAACATCTGCTCCAGTGTCCGCGGTGCGTCTGTCCGCCCAGGGGCGACTCTGCAGCCGCTCCTGCCACTCCAGATAGGACGGTCTGCGCGTCTGCAGCTTCAGCTTCTCCGTCAGCGCTTTGACGCTGTCCAGGTCCTCCGCGTCTCCCTCCGAGCAATCAGCTCCAAGCTCTTTAAAATCCATTCATGCAACAGAACAAGGAAACGAAACTTGCGAGTTCAGGTAAAGAGTTTGTGTCTGGAGGCTGCAGAGCGCAACAGGTCCATAGCTCCTTTATAGGGAGAAGTCAGACAGTGACCGCCCATCCCGCAGAGGCCGGGAGGGGTGGATCAGTTATTAGCTGTTTTATGGAGGGGGAAGTCAGACCCTGAGACCTTATGTTAGAACACACTTTATTATTTCAGGCAAAACTAGAAAAAAAGAAAAAAAAAGAAAAAGTTAATTTTTGAGGAACTATCTGAAACCAATGAGGAGGAATACATCATGGAAAATGTAAACTTTTCATTTAAGTTATAGAATATCATATAAATAAGGATTATTAAACTATATGCATAAACAAATAGATAATCAGTTTTGTTCTTCATTTTAGAAATGGAAAGCAAGAAAAACAGAGAAAACAATAGATAAAGTTTAAAGAAATATAAATCAAAAAACAATAAAAATTTAATTTATAAATAAAAAGGAATAGAATAGAATAGAATAGAATAGAATAGAATAGAATTGAATTGAATAGAATAGAATAGAATAGAATAGAATTGAATAGAATAGAACTCCCTTTATTTTCTCACAGTGGGGAAATTCTGGTGTTTACAGCAGCAGAAAGATTATAGAAAACATCATCACACAAATGTGGACATTAGAAGAGTGTATAGAAATAACACAATAGTGAAGAGTTAAAAAGAGTTATAGAATATGATATAAATAAGGATTATAAAACTAGTATGTATAAACAAATAGATAATCAGTTTTGTTCTTCACTTTATATATGGACATGAAAGCAAGAAAAACAGAGAAAACAATAGATTAAGTTTAAAGAAATATAAATCAAAAACCAATTCTAAGTTAATCTATAAATAAAACAGAACAGAACAGAATAGAATAGAATAGAATAGAATAGAATAGAATAGAATAGAATAGAATAGAATAGAATAGAATAGAAGCTCCCTTTATTTTCCCACCATGGGGAAATTCTGGTGTTTACAGCAGCAATAAGATTATAGAAAAATGCTGACACAAATGTAAAGTGTTTTAACAATATAAAACACTGTGCACCAGAGAATAAATAACCAATAGCTATAGACATTTTTCAGTAACAGATATTTTTAAATAGCAGCGACATCAGAGGTGTGCAAAATGACAGCAGCATGTTTTTTAAGTGACTAAAGTAGGAACTGTGCAAAATCATAATTGTGACAACTTATTGAGGTTGTTGAGATCAGTGGTGGTTATTTAGTCTTGCAGCTGCTGGGAGGAAGGATCTGTGATAACACTCCCTGGTGCATTTAGGGTGCAGCAGTCTGTCACTAAAGGAGTGGGGTGGGAGACATTATCCAACCCCCATGTATGAAGCTGTTGCAGTAAAGACAGAATTTGTCAGCAATGGGATGTGCATTTATTAATAAATATCATATTCAGGTATATTTGCAATTCAAAAGTCAAATAGAAACAACTGAGAGCAAAATTATACTGTGCAATATGCATGATTGTAAAAACGCTCTCAATGAAACTAACAAGTGTCCAAATAAACATCAGCATTTTAATGCAATGTCAATTAATTTTGATCACATTGCAGACCTGTGGAACCAGCATGTTTGTAAACACTATTAAAAAATGCAGGGGTTGAAAAATATAACAGCAGTTAGGAGGAAGGATCTGTGGAAGAGCTACTTTAAGCATGTACGATGAAGCAGTGTGTCCCTGAGAGAGCTATCCTGCTCTGCATCAGATCCTTGTATGGGTTGGGATACACTGTGATGTCATTTTTCTTACAGTTATTCTGTGTCACGCCACCTGCATTGGGTGCAGAGGACAGGCCTGGTCCTCCTGATGAGCTTACCCAGCTGCCTCCTCTCAATTACAGATAAGCTCCAGCATACCACACCATAGAGGATGACTGATAAACATACCAGTGATAAATGCTACTACTTTACAAATGCATATGTTTATTATAGGGTGGTATTAATGTTATATACTGTATAGTTAGTTATATATTACATATATTAGTTTATTTCTCAGTATTTAAATAATGCTGGTAGCTAAGGGCCTAAAATGTGTTAAGAAAATAAACAGCATCGCATCTTAATATTCTGACCACCTCTATGCTGCAGCTAAAACAAAGACTCATTGCTTAGATTCTCCTATCTGTTATTGATGGTGAGCCTTTGTGAGTTGCTCGGTTTCCTGTTTTTGGCCGAAAGGCTTGGCACTCTGCTGCTGCAGTCCAACTGATTCAAGGTTCAAAATGTATTTTGCATTCTGAGAAAGTTTTCTGTTTGTCTTTGTTGTAGGTAGTGTTTATTTTAGTTCTGTTTGCCCTTTTTATTTTCTCAGACCAGTCTTCTCATTTTCTTCTCTGCTAAGTGAATATTTTTTGGAATCTTTTACAATTTTTTTAAACTGAAAGGATGAAATTCAGATTCAGAAAAAAATTGACGTATATTCAGCTCATATTCTAATGACATTTGGTTTGAATTTATTTACTCATCTTTAAATGACCAAACATATGTGATTGGCTTGTAAAACAGCTATGAGATCCAGTCCGTTAAGTAATATTAATAAAGTAGGAATAAAGGGATAAATGGTTTTCCACTATGTATAAGAGAACCACTAGAAGATCATAGCTTCAGATGCTGGAAAATTTAATTCAATACGGAAGAATAGATCTTTATCATCGGCCCATTGACCTATTTGCCGCATCATGACAGGTCTTTCCTAATCTGTCCTGACTTCAAGCACAGATGCAAAACATTTAATCAAGCCTGGTCTCACCAGCATCTCAGGAATGAATCAGAAAAATATTTCATATTATTTCCTTTAAATACCCTGATAGTTAAAGAAGCTGAGACAAACACATGGGATAACATAATCTCCTGCATAATGTGCGTTATAATATCATGAAACACACTGTTATAACTAACCTACACATTTCAACCAATTAATATTCGGCCGTATTACACAATGCAAATGTTTTCTAATATTCATATATCCAATAATAATTTAACACTAAGCTACTGTGTTTGCAGGGTCAGTTGATTGAAGGTTTATGACAAATATTCCAATTTTTCTAGTAGCCTTTTTTCATAGCCACATAAACACAGACATGCATCATTTGGTTTCCTTTTTTTATTAAAGGCTGCAATAAAATTCCAACCGTCTTTTCTAAATAGACCCTAATGATAAAAAAGGATAAATTATTTTCCAAATGATGATGCAGTTTTACCTAAAGAAGATTAAAATATAAATTCATCATAAACATGAAATAAGGTTATTTTTGAAACACTAATGATGGTAAATTGTGTTGTATAAGGCTGATAATCTAAGGGATAATTTGTTGTTAGTTCCGTAATTTTATTGTCATAACCTTCCAGGACCCTTGATGTTTTATTTTATTTATTTATTTATTTATTTATTTATTTATTTATTTATTTATTTATTTATTTATTTATTTATTTATTTTTGCACAACTCTGGTTATGTTTTTGCAAACTGAAAAAAAATTGTCAGGATATTTTTTTAAGATATTATTTTCCATTTTTTTACTTCCACATTTTTTATATGCTGATGAAGATTCTCAGTCATTCAGGTCATAGTCATTCTGTAAAAGTTTAAAAACAATCCACTGGACTTGGTTTCCAAGGTTTGAAGACGTTTCACTTCCCCTCCAGGAAGCTTTCTCAATTTTCCATACCTCTTTGATATTAATAGAAAGGTAGGTTTCCTCTTACTATTTTACATTACTTTTTTTTATCTTTAGAGATAAAATCCCTTCAAAATTACCCATCAAATTAAATAATAATGCAATCAAGTTTTCTAAAGGCTCTTTCAGTAGATGTTAAAAATGCACTGTTGAAATGTTTATGAAGAGCAGGGGACCCTAACCTGGAGCTTTTTAAAGTTTTGCACATGCTGCCATCTTGTGGTGATTCTTTGCATTGCACGCGCACTGCAGCTGCTTCTCTTGGAGCGAAACAGCGCGTAACTGTTCAATGTCACACATCTGTCAGGGTCTCTTTTCGTCCCAGGAAACGCGCACTTCCGTCTTTTGTTGTCACAAGCAACTTATTGCCCATTTATTTCCACACCCCCTCACTCTCAGTAAGCCGTTACTGCAAAAGGCAAAGGCGCGCCAGGTTTGGTAATGTAGAGACTAATATGAAGTTTTTTCTATTTTTAGATGCCTTATCGTGAAACCAAAAGCGCAGCTGCAAGGCTGCCCAACCAGCTCTGAGCGCAGAAGAGGAAGCTTGCTTTCATTTTCTTTAAGAGTTACAGTAAGGAAGTGATTTGGAGTGAAGAGCAAAGAGTTGGAACATAGAAATACTCATTTTCTGAGGTCTGGGGGTGCCACATGGAGTTTTCTGACCACATTAAGACGGCCAACGTGGAGGATGTTGTGCTCCGGCAGCCCCTGCACCCACCGAGCAGAGGCACCCTGTGCATCACCGGACACCACCTGCTCTTCTCGGACAGAGAGGAGGGCAGCTCCCAGCAGGTCCTGCTGCTGCTCAGGAATATCGATGCCATAGAGAAAAGGTGAGGGTGGCTCCAGAAGAAGGAAAAGTTGTTTACTAAATCTACACCAAGGTTTCTCTTCACATAATTGGCTTCTCAGAATAAGGATTTGAAACAAGAATCTTGGTTTCTTCTGTTTTTACAACTGAAATCAAACTGAGAATTAACTCCTTTAGTATATCGATTCACATGACTCCATCGATTTCGAATAAAATTTAAAGTTATTTAAGTTTACACTTCCAAACCTGCGAATGAATTAATCATTACTGTGTCATTTAATCCAACTTATGTCTAATTTACTTCCTTAAATCTGTCCAACCAGTGTGGAAAACCTTTTGGGCTATTCCGGCTTCTTCTCTAATGCAGTCCTCAGTGACAGGTTTGGAAATGTTGGTGTTGCCATGTGTCTGCTGTATTCTGCCTCTGCTGAAAGCAGACATTTCTTAACAAATGTACAGCTTCTTACAACCGCTTGCAAGCCAACGCTTCTGTCTCCTGTCAGCAGCTTGATTTCAATGTGTTGTGAAAGCATTGCTGAAACCCTTTTTAACTATTGGGTCACAGACTAAGAAAGGCAGACCCTTTACAAAAAAACTGGTTGTTTTAGGGCTTCCTCTTCTGCTGCAAGTCAAACATCCCACATTGCACCCCCAGTCTTGGAATAGGCCTTTGAATGGGCATGGGATGCCTTATCTTTAAAAAGAAAACAATGTGTTCATAGTTTCTTTTATGTGTGCAGGACGTCTGGATCGTCAGGGACGATTACCATCAAATGCAAAGATCTGCGGGTGCTTCAGCTTGACATTCCAGGCATGGAGCAGTGCCTCAACATTGCACACTCCATCGAGGTGTTCTGCAGCTAAACCTTATTAATCACAATACTTTCTTTCCTACACGATATGTCATTTTATTACATAATTTACCAGCTGATTCTCTTTTCTTGCAGACCCTTTCCTGTCTGGACAATGTGTCGGCGATGTATCCCTTCTTTTACAGACCCACTGACCTCAGCCTGCGGGACCAGTGGGGCCTCTCCACCCCTGAAAAACAATACACTCAAATAAAGCAGCTGGTAAGCAACTTATAAAGCTTTATATACTTGTTTAAAAAAAACTTAAAACAGAATGTAGGTAAGTGTGACTCAAAAGGCAAGCCTTCTTTTTTTTTTCCAAAAACACTTCAGCAGGCATATGACAGGAAGATGCCAGGAATGGGTGACGGCACAGGTCACTTTTCAGGATATCCCTGTTGCTTAGTCTTCATGTGTTTCCCCTAAATGTTAGAACAGACTAACTCACAGCTCGAGTTCTTGTCTTCTTTTGGGAATAGTTTGTTACCATGGAGACGAATTGGGCATTGGGGGTTTTAATTGTTGAAAGTGTTTTATTGGCCTAGTATTCTTCAAGTAGGTGGGATGTATGTATCTTGGTGGTCCGGTTACTGGGAGAAACTGACTGGAATGTGCCTCTCTAAATGTTTCTTTTCCTGCTAATTCTTACTTTTCTATTGGTTGTCTCAAGCTCATTGCATATAGTTAGATTTACAGTTTCTCTGTAAATCTTTAGCATGTTAAAGAGCCTAGACCTAATTTAATCACAGCAGCCTGCCTGCTTAAGAATAGAATAGAAAATCCATTTATTGTCCAGCAATAGGGAAATTCTGATGTTTTTACAGCAGCAAAAAGATTATAGATAAAAAGGTCACACAAATTTGGATCTTAGAAAAGTGTATAAGGATAACATAATAGTGAAGAGTTAAAAGATAAACAGTAAAATACTGTGCTGTAAAGTGTTTAAACGGTATAAAACTGCACCTGGAGAATAAATAACCAATATAAAGCTATGGATGTTTTTACAGAAATGGATATTTAAAAATAGCAGCAACCGCAGAGATGTGCAAAATGACAGCAGCATGCTATTTACTGAGCCTGTATCTGCTGGAGGTTTCTTCCTGTTAAAAGGGAGTTTTTCCTCTCCACTGTCGCTACAAGCATAATTAGTGTGAGGGATTGCATTTGAGTCAGTGAGTTGATGCAATCACCTGGTTTTCCTTAGATAGAAAACTTTAAATCAATTTGACTGTATGATCTGGTGAACTGTAAAGTGCGAGATGAATTGTGTAGTGAATTGGCGCTATATAAATAAACTGAATTGAATTTAACTGACTAAGATAGAAACTGTGCAAAATCAGCATGAATGTAAGAACTTATTGAGGTTGTTGGGAACAGTGGTGGTTCTAGAGTATTCCAGCTGCTGGAAGGAAGGATATGTGATAACGCTCCCTGTTGCATTTAGGGTGCAGCAGTCTGTCACTGAATGAGCTCCCTAGTTCTGCAACAGCTTCATGCATGATCATCTTCTGCAGCCGCTTTCTCTCAGCTACAGAAAAGCCACTCCTCCAATTGACAGCTCCATAGAAGATGGCTGATGCCACAGCCATCATAAAAGAGTCATTAAGGCATTCTAATGAAATCAGATTTTTTATTGCATATTGGATCCAAGAAAACTACAGAGTTAATAACATGACCAAATAATTCAATAAGTACTTAGATATATGATAACGTACTAAACTGTGCAGCAATCATACAGGCTGATCTTCAACGGACCCAAATAAAGCGAGTTAAATTGCAAGTAACATTTTTTAGTATGTGCAATAAGTGGGTCAGATGTTGATGATCTACAAAGATTCCTGCGCAGATGTTAAAACATAAACCAGTTTGGTCCTGACTCATTATAAATGAGCAGAAAACATATTCTACAGACAGTTTGCAAGTGTTTATGATAAAACAGATGAGTTTATAAGCCATGGAGCTAAAGGTTATAATGTTAAAATATATATATATATATAATTTTTAAATGACTTTATTTTTAAAGAACTTTAACTCTGATGAAAATAAAGTTAAATATAAAAAACAAAAGATATTTTTCTTTGATATGCATATTGATTAGAGAACACAGACACAAAAAAAGGTTTGCACACATTGCTGCTGAACTGCAAACGCAAATAACTTTGCATCTCCTTTGAAGATTCTCTGCTCATTCAGATACTGTTTTAAGATGTGAAACAGCTTCTGCAGATCAGCCCTACTGTCTGCTGTCTTCCTCCAGACTTTTTTTAGCTACTCTTGAGTAAATCTTCTCCAGGCTTACTCTAAAGTATTATATTTTGTTTACCTTTTTTTATTTGACTATTGCTTCTTATTCATTTACGTAGTGGAAGAATACAGCAAAGACCTGCCTTATGAAATTACTTCTGCATAATCAGTTGATGAAAATAGCTATTTGGGTATTTATCTGTGTGTGTGTGAAATATAAAATGTTTTCACAGAACAAATGTTGCCTTTTAGACACATTGCAGCTAACAGAAGGGCTGATCATTAAAGTAAAAACTAACATAACCTAGGTTTATTACAATATACAACCACATATTTCTCTGAAAAATGTTTTTAAAGACTGTTTTAACCATTTATTGGGCATTTAGTTTTTTGATAACTTGCATACCCCTTGCAAAAGGACCCAACAAGTTAATAAGCCTAGTTAACAACTATATTTAGGTTTATAAACTAAAAAATGTAATTGCCAGTATCAGCATTAATGGCTCTAAGGTTATGTTGCACCACAATAATGTGTTTCTTTCACTCTCAGAGTGTTTTTCATGAATTTCTTATAGAAGCACTTCTATTATTTTTCTTAATATATTCAGGCAAGTTGGCGTTTCTTGTTATTACATTTACTTTTTTTTTTGTTGAGTTTTTAACAGCACTAGTGGCTTGTTTTTATGGACAGTAGGCTGACAGGAAAGGGGGTATGAGAGAGAGGGAAAGACATGCAGGAAAGGATTTGAACCCAGGTCACCCGCCTTGATGACTAAGGCCTCCATTGATGGATCGTGTGCGCTTGACATAAATTTTTGCCATTAAAATATCCATATTTTGAATGTTACAAAGGTAATAAGGTCTTGTCCTGGAGTCCAATAACACTACTGGCTTGAAATGAAGTATTTCCATGAGTGCCGTTATTTAAAAACAAAGACATCAAAAAGATCTCAAAGCACATTACTTGTTCAAATCAAAATATAAAGAAACATCTGGAGCATGTTGTGTTTTTCAGTGTGTAGGTGTAACAATCCACATTTATAAAAGGTCAGAAACATTGTATTAAAAGGAATGCCAGTCTGACATCAGCTGGAAACAGATTTGGTGCTCACAGATTCTTCAGTCATTTCTGAACATCTTCTTTGTCGTCTTTATTTTCAGCATAAGAAATGGAGACTGAGCAGCGTTAACGAAAGCTACTCCGTATGTCCTTCCTATCCTCCCATGGTCATTGTTCCAAACTCCATCGACGATGAAATGTTGAAGAAGGTGGCCAAATTCAGGCAGGCTGGCCGCTTCCCTGTCCTGTGCTACTATCACAGAAAGAATGGCATGGTGAGAGTCAATCAGTTTAATTAAACACACCTGGACTCCAATGAAAGAGCAGAACCAGCTTCTTCTTCTTCTATTAGTTAAATGGCAGATTGCAACCTTGAATTGTAAGTGCATACCTAAAAGTCAAGTATACCTACTATACCTAAGTATGTATATATGACTCTATACTTTCATATCCATCCCTCTCTCTCTCTCTCTCTCTCTCTCTCTCTCTCTCTCTATATATATATATATATATATATATATATATATATATATATATATATATATATATATATATATAA